TATATATATATACTGACAGCCTTCAAGTTTTATTGTCCTTGTTGTTCCTGCTCTATGAAATGCTCTTGCACATGAACATTGAATGAGGGCTACTTCTTGTTCGTCCTGTCTCCATTTAAATGTCACCTCTTTAGAGAAATGTTCTCCAACCACTGTATCTTAATTAGTCACCTGTTCACTTCCTTCCAATCAAAATGATGCTAATTCTCCACACATCATTGTCTGCTTTTCTTATTTATAGCGATTTCTTATTTTTTGTTTATTGTCTACCCCTATTAAAATAGAGGTTTTCTGAGAGCAGCATCTTGCTTTGTTGCTTTAAAGAGTCTGTGGTGCAATGGAGAAACTCCAAAAATTGATCTTGAATAGATGGATACCTTGCTTTTATTTACCCAGTGCTATTATCTATCAGATGTGTCCAACCTCTCAACACTGTGACTTATTTTCATCTACAAAGTTCATGTTCAAGAAGCAAGTAATTGAGTCACAAAACAAACAAACAAACAAAAACAAATAAAAATCTCATTATTTTAAAATAAGTTTATTATTCCCTGTTGGTCTACATCCACAGCTATCTTGGGGTACATGTTGACTGTGGGCCCAGATGGAATATGCCTGGTAGTTGCAATAGTCAAATCAACAAATGTCTGGGGCTCTCTCCTCCACTTTGCAGAAAAGCACCCTCAGTCTCTCCCCTATGCAAGACACGCAGCCCCATAGCATTCATAGCACTTGCTTTAGAGAAGGTTTCAATAGCGATGAATAAATTCTTCCTTCTTGTCTTTGAGAGACACCCCCCACCCCAGAACATAAAATTTAACACACTTTAGGACCTTGGTGACTGGTTTGGTGACAGTGTATTTATTTTTAGGTAACGAAGTTCACCTTTGATCAATTCCTGCATAGCTTCACAGTAGTAAGTTTAAAGGCAGAATCTTTTCTTAACGGTGCTGTCCAGGATCAAGATACTTGAGGAAATTCTTCTGGGGTTAGAAGCATGTGCCTCAATTCACGTGGAGCCCAGTTTCAAGTCATTCTAAGTACACCAGGAGTGTGTTGTTATTTCCATTTTAGAGGTAGATAAAATGAGTCTCAGAGAAGTTACAGAATTTGCACCAGATCTGATGGTTGAATGTCCTCTGCGCTCAACAGTGCTTCACAGTATGTCTTCTTGTCAGGATGTCTGTTCATTATAAGTAAAGCAAAATCAGTGGTTAGTTTTTCAAAGCTAGGAAATAGTTTCTGATTTGCAACTCTTTAAAAGATTTAGAAGGGGCCTTTGACATTATCCAGGCTGGAGCTGCAACTTCAGAAAATCACAGAGGTCCTCAAGATTTAATTCTTGGGCTATTGTTTATTTTAGCTGATCTATTTCATGCTAGATAAAGAAACCTCTCCAAGCTTCTCTTATGCATACACCTGGCACAGAGAAAGGGTTGGGGCTGAGTGTTGGCTGCAAGGCTGGCTCGGAGGTAAACTGTGTTATCATGTTTCAAGGGAGCTGAGAAACAAAGGCAGGGGGGAGCATCTCTTTGCTTTAGAAAATGCTATTAATCCATTATAAAACATACCAGATAATTACACTATTGGAGGAGAATAAAGTCCTGGAGAAGCCAGTCATTTCCCCTGGTGACTGTTTTGCTGTGGAGAAGAGGCATCTGTACCATTCATAATTGTAGTGCAGAAATTGGCACAGAAAGAAACCCCAATGCCAGCTGTTCCAGATGTCTTGAAAGGAGGCTATCTCCACAAGTATACAGAATGCCTATTTCCTGTCATGTTCACTGTTGAACAAATAACCATATGGTATCTAGGATAATCTTTTATGTCAGAGCTGGGGATTGAACCCAGGGCCTTGTACATGCTTGCATATGCTAAGCAAGTGCTCTACTACTAAGCTACACCTTCAAACCCTTTACTAATTCTTAATTAATTCTGTATTCTCTTTACAAAAAGAGCTTCTCAATTGTCCTGTTGACAAAAGCAAGCACTTTTCATTTTTGATGCAGCTTCTCATGTATCTCAGGCTGGTCTCAAACTTCCCATGTAGCCTCTACCGTTTAAGGGATTTCTGGGATTCCAGGTATGCACCACCACTGTGCCTGGTTTATGCAGTGCTGGGAATGGAATCCAGGGCCTGTTACATGCTAGGCAGTAATGTCTGCTAAGTGAGCTACATCCTCACCCCAAGTACCACTTTTTCTTTTTTTTAAATATATTTTATTTAGTATTTTTATCTTATGTGTATGAATGTATTGCCTGCATGTACGTGAATTCACCCATGTCATGCACTGCCGCAAAGGTCAGATGAGGGCGTCAGATTCCCCTGGAGCTGGAGGTAAGGACAGTTCATAGCCACCATGTGGATGTTGGGAATCGAACCCAGTTCCTCTGTAAGAGCAGTCAGTGCTTTTAACCACTGAGCCACCTCTCCAGCTCCCAAGTAACACTTTTTCAAAGCACATTCTCCAAAGGTATTGCTTCATTCTCCCCTTGCCCCATCATAGAACTGGTCTGCTGCCACCAGTAAATGTTAACCTGATCTTTTGCTACAAAATGCTGACTCAGAGATGAGGAAAGATGTTGATGGCCACTCTCTTGGGACAGAGGAGAGAGGTTGAAGTGGAAGAAAAATAACTGTAGAACATGAGAGGGTCTTCAGTGACATCATTAGCAACCCAAAACAGTACAAAGGATGTTGAGAAGGAGAATGCTTGAGAGCAGTATAAAATTCAGCTATGAGATCACAGAGGCTACAGGTCTTATTGGGAATATTTGGCCAACATTGCTTTGACTATGAATTTAATGAGCATGTAGTTCATTAAGTCTATTTACTAAAGCATTTATGTATCCACGTAACTGTTCTCGGCTTTATAATCCAGAGCTGAAAATCAAAATGCAAACCAAATCAAAGCAAGATCCCTGTCCTTGTGCAGCTTTCATGCGAGTGGAAGATTCAGATAAGCACCAATGATAAAGATGAATTATATAATATCCTAGTGGGTGATAAATACTATAACAACAAAGAAAACGAACAGAATAAAGCAAAAAATGATAATAATAATAAAGCCAAACAACAACCACTTAATGGGGACTTGTAGTCCAGCATGTGGGGGTCTTGCAATTTTCAACGGGTTTTTGTGTGAAGTGTTAATAGCATAAAGAGCTGGCCATGTACTTATCTGAGAGATCTAGTTTCATTCTTCTACAGGTGGAGATCCAGTTTTGCTAGCACCATTTGTTGAAGATGATGTCTTTCCTCCATTGTGTGTTCTTCGTCCATTTGTCAGATATCAGGTGGCTGAAATTGTGTGTACTCAGATTTGGGTCTTCATTGATGCTCCCTTGATCTATGTGTCTATTTTTGTGCCAGTAGCATGCTGTTTTTATGAATATAGTTCTGTAATATACTTTGAGATCTGGCATAGTAATGCCCGCCGTGCTCAGGGTTGCTTTGGCTTCCGGGGTCATTTTTGCTTCCATATAATTTTAAGGATTTTTTTTCTAATTCTGTGAAGTATGTCATGGGGATTTTGATTGGGATTGCATCGACTCTATATATTGCTTTTGGTAGGATGGGTCATTAATATTCTGGTTCCAGGGAGTAGCCATTGTACAGAGTTCAGGGAACAAGGAGCCAGTGTTGCTGGAGCCCTGCAAATGGGTGGAATGAGGTGGAGGAGGGAAAGTCTCAGAAATCAGAGAAGAGGGTTTCCATACATCTAGGGCTTTGTTGGTCCTTGTAGGAAGAAGACTTTGGCTAAAAGGAGAATGGAGAGCTTTTGCGTAGTTTAAGTAAACTTTTCTGACCCATTTTTAAAAATGTCTTTGTCTTTGGTAATAGATTATGACATACAAAGAAAGGATTTCTCTTTTTTTTCAGCATGTTGCCTTACTTCTATGACAGGGTTGCTATGAGATTCAAATGCAAAAGTGCTTCAAAAATTATAAAGCCCAGTGCACAGCAGACCCAAGCTATAATTATTTTACACAAACAATAAGGGGTTCAAAAGCCAAGGTTCCTCTTGGTTCCTAGGATCTAGGACAACTTATTGCATTTATGATATTCAACTATGCATCATATAAGAAGCTAAAGGAAAATTGTTCTGCTTATTCAAGAGAAAATCTGTAATTTTATGCCTGAGTTTTAAATCATCTAGATTATACAGATTGCTACTGATTTTATGTTTAATTTGGAGAGAAATGCCTTAAAAATAACGTGGAAGTACTGGGTTTGAATACTGAAGACTTTAAATATAACAGCAGAAGTCTGGGAAGTTTAAACCTATTTCCTCTTCCTTAATCCCCTGGGGGGAGAGAGAGAGAGAGAGAGAGAGAGAGAGAGAGAGAGAGAGAGAGAGAGAGAGAGAGAGAGAGACACGCGCGCGCGCGAGAGCGTCGTGTGTCTCTTGCGGGGGTGCTT